AGGGCTATGAGAAAAGTGGAGAGGAGGAAGTTGAGCCATAACCTACCAGCATAATTTTGCAGGTCTTTTGATTGTTCCCCGTTCCATTGCCTTTTGTGTACCAGCAGCATATGATTCTTCTGGTGAATGTGAGCAACACAACCAATTAGAGAGCACCTTACAATATGAAACTTTTGAATTTTATTGCAAGCTCATTTCTTTGGAAGGTTTTTATGGTTTGCTTCCCCCATTTCCAGCTTATTTACTTCCTTTTTTAACCTTTTGAGAACCACAATCGCCATTAAATTTCCCATGACTTTCCATGGTTGATATGGATGTTTTCCTGGCCTGGTTTGCTCAAAAGGTGGATAATGCTATCCACCAGATAAATCACTATCCAGCAGATAGTGTGGTTTGTTTTGTTAACACTTAGCCACTAGATAACGTTATCCAGTCTGGGGCCTGAACTGCACAGTGATGCAACAAATGGTTAAGGGTGAGTTTTCATCAAAGTTCATAAAGCAGCAAAGACTTCCTAACCCTTAGTGCAAATGATAATAATGCTAAAGATTATAAAAGCAATTGTCAAATTGTCAATGGGTCAAATTTGTTTCAAAGTTCCCTCAGTTGCTTATTCCTCTACATAACATCCAGGGATCCCCCCTCTCAAAGAAGTACAACTGTAGATGACAAGTTCCGAACACTGGTGAAATGTTAAAAGTTATTAAAACAGAAAACAAATTACAAATAACAACAAGGGAAACAACTGTGCTTTCACAAATGTGTATGTAATTGTGTATATGTTGTAGGTGAATTTGTTCTTTATGTCAGAACGATTGCAACCTAGGGGGAGGAAGGGGGAGTCTGGGACCAAATTAGACTGTCAACAAATTTGAGTAACTTTGTAACGATTGCTTGTACGGTCTAGTATAACATTTGACGGTGATTATAACATTTTGAGGGTAACAGTGAACTTCAAAGTCAGAAATCAGGTGTGGGGCAATGATGTGAGGGGTTAGTGTTAGGGTTAGGTTAAGTTGGGGGGTTGATATGATACCCTGCCAGGGTAGGGTAGGGTTAGAAACTGAGGGGTGTGGGTGGTGTGGATTTAATTCTTGTTAAGAACCTTCCAAAAAGGGGGGAAAAAACTAGTTTCAAAAAATAAATCTGGGTTGAAACAAATTACAGCTGTAATCTAGATTGAAATCATTCTAACCTAAAGAACAAATTGACCTACACCATACACATTTCAAATGAGTGTTCAGTATTTCCATTATTGGCATTATTAATTTTTAGGAAACCTCTTAATTTGGTCCATGTCGTGTGTTTTTTCTACTAGGTACATGTAACTCAACTAGTACAACTGTTGTAGGGAGAAAACAAGACAGTGCTGTAATAATTGTTCTTTTGAATTATTGTGCTTATAAATAGTTGAAGAGGCTGGTGGAAAGTGTCTTCCCTGTGCAGTGGACATTCGTGATGAAGGTGCTGTAACCGAGGCAGTGCAAAAGGCTGTGAAGACATTTGGTGGGATCGATATACTCGTTAACAATGCTAGTGCCATAAGCTTAACAGGAACACTAGAAACACCAATGAAAAGGTGGGATTTTGATTGTAGTCAATAACAGTTCTGCTTTTAGTACAAAGTCGTTATGAGCTCCATGAGTCTTGTCTTGTGTCATAAATATATATACATAATATAAAATTGCACATTTGTAGCTGAAGTGATGTTGTGTAATGTTCCTAGTTTTGCATCGTGTATATAATTCTCAGCATTTTTTATCCCACCTTTACAACAGAGATGTTAATAATTAGTGATCTTTTAAATTATTGTGCACATTATCTTAAATGAAAGTTTTCAATTTTTTAGCAGTATAATTTTATAATACGAAATAATGTACATCGTATTACTGCATGCAATGTGACCAATAAAATCTCAGAGGGAAAGAAAAACTGGATCATGTTACTTCGCTCATTAACTCGTAGTCTAGTACTCATTTGTATCAGTATCACTGAACATTAAATTATATTATTTACTGACAACTGGTATCCTGGAAGTTTCAGTTCACTCAGGCTGCTGTTCCTGAGGTGTAAACCATTCTATGTGCCTCATCCTTCTATCATGCTTATTCCCAGCTTTATGAGCACTACAGTGTACTGTCAGAGCATTTTATTAGCCACACATAGCTGGCAAAACCATGCTATCAAACTCAATGTGTGCAAGTGTAAATCATAATACAGCAATGCATGCTTGTGGCATGAGCAAAGGTAACTCTGCATTGCATTTCCATTGGCAATGCCTATACAAAACCATTGATTCCTGGTTTAGCTGTGTGTCGCTGAGTTATGATACACCTGGGAAGTTTGGAGAACATGCATGGAGCTAGAACTGTGCCTTAAGCAACTCTTGCACTTCCTTAAGTGCAGGTCAATTATTGGTAATTGACCCTTATAAACTTACTGTGGCTATCAATGAATTATGGTTGAACCTCTCTCAAATGGCCACTGTGGAAAATTAGTCCCTGTTTTTTTTTTTTTTGAGGTGGTCTTTTTACATGTAGGGAAGTGTATAACTATTAGAAGGTTACAGTCATGTCTTTGCCCACTGTATAACCTGCATTCAGGCAGTTTTTTAAATATATATAAGGAGGGAGGGTATGGTCGGAGGTTACCCGCTGTATGGCAGTGGCCTTTACTGGAGGTTTGAGCACAACTACGTGGAAGTGTATTAATTAATAATATCCATGTCTGGCTGAACTTGTACAAACTCTTGTCCACTACTGTCAGAGTGCTATATGTGACTCATAAGATAATTTCTGCTACTTTTCTGTTATTTCTATTCCAGATATGACCTCATGAATAGTATCAATGCTCGAGGCACATATTTGTGGTAAGTTTCCTGTACTTAAAATTAAGTGTATACATGTAGTTGAGCTAGTTGGTCATTTATGAGTACACCAGAGAAATACTGTCAATTTTCAAAGGGACATTGTAGTATTAGTTTTGTAGCATTTATCTCTGACTGGGTTTTTCATTTCTATTTGTCAGCTCTCAAGCCTGTATTCCATATCTGAAGAATGGAAAGAACTCGCACATCTTAAACATTAGTCCACCTTTAAGCATGAAACCCCTTTGGTTCAAGAGCCATGTAGGTAGGTTACCAAATATTATTATTTTCTTCCTAATAAAGTTTTGGCATCAATATGTTTTAAAGATCAGAGCTTAGTCAGGGTATCTTGAGTTATTTTGGCCACATGCAAAATTATCTTTAAATTGAAGGAAACCTTAAAAGAGTAGTTTGCTAGGAGAGAAAAACACCAAAGAGATAATAAACCAAAAAGGAGCAAGGATGGTTTAAGATAAAAATAATTACCATGGATTACAAACAACAAACTTGAAAAATTTAGTCTTAACTTTTCAAGATGCATAAGGCACTGTGACATAGCTCAAAGTGATGTAGCTTTAAGTGTGCAGGGCAAGTGTAAATAATACAGTTTGGATTGTCAATGCACTCTTATTGCTTATAAGTACACTCTATGCGGTCTGATTGCCTCTGATTTGCCTTGTAAAAAGCTACCAATGCTTTATCAATCTTAACGGTAGTCACACCAGCCAAGTGATGATGCTTGTGGTTATTGCTGACTTTAATCAGATGCCTTCATTCTGAGAAGGAATTTGAACCAGAGTTTTTATGTTATTATGGTTTGAAATCTTGGTGGTTACTCTCTCCTGTGGGTACCCATTGTAAAATCAAACCAAGAGAAATATCCGCCCAATATTCACGACAAGTGTCTAGAGAACAGGCACTCTGTAATAATGGTGGATACAGCAATTTGAACTGATGCAGTCTTTAGTAATCTGATGGCTGGTGGTATTACTGGTATATGTGTTAAGTATTATGGTGCCAATCAGCTGCATAATTTTGTGGCTCAAATGCACCATCAATGTGCAAGGAAAGTTGTGTCCAATGGCCTGGGGCTAGTGGATTTTGCATTTGGGTTAGTGCATTCTGTCATTTGCCTGCCCAATGGCCAGCCAAGTAAAGGGTTTTTTGTGTGTGGAAAATCTTAGCAGAAATTCACATTACAGACTGAAGTACTGTTAGTAAGAGGTAGATTATTGTAATTATCTTTTTAAATTAAATTTTTATCTGTTTTAACATGTTTTGTATTTTTTAGCAACCCTTGTAAATTTACATCTTTTTATAGTTTTGGGATTAGTTTTTATTATTATGATGTAAAGTGCACTTGATAATTTCATGGAAAGTCGCCCTGTAGAAAGTTATAACTATTAAAAATTTTTTAAATGGTTAAAATTAAAATTCTAAATTAACAATCATGTCATTAAGAATTTTTTAAGGAGCTAGACTAAGTGAGAATGGCTTTTGGGATAGAATATCCCAGGTACAGTATACCCTTAAGCCGAGCTTGAAAATTGCTTTTCTTTGCACCCTGACCATGTAACTGGCTTGTTTTTAGCATACACTATGGCCAAATATGGAATGTCCATGTGTGTCCTTGGTATGGCAGAAGAATTCAAGGATGATGGAATTGCAGTTAATGCCCTGTGGCCCAAAACAGGTAGGATACTTCACTTACTTGCTTACAATCTGTGTACTTATATATCTTTCTGTTTGACGATTAGCCTGGTACTTTGTAGCTTTGGAGTCTGGAGCTCAAGCCTCATCTCTATATGGACTAGAACGTTGGTCATCTTTTTTTTTTTTAGATCCCTGAGCTTGCATAAATGTTAAAAAGGACAAACAAATGAATGAATGCCCTCAACAAACAAAGAAATGCACTACCCACCCACTTTCTCACACAGACTCAAAAAATGTAACCAAACTCAATCATCAGAATACCTAGCAATTGTATATTATTTCCAGCATGCAAAGAAAGTCAAGTCTGATAACCCTTGTCTGATAGCCCTGCAGGGCTTGTGTATTTTGCTATCCTACTAGTGGATTCTGCCCTTTGCTTGCCCAACACGCAAGTGACAGTTAAGTACATTCAAATTACAGAAGCACAGTGTATTGTAACCAATTATGCTTGCAAGAAAATTTTGGAGGGACTAGTGAGAATTACTTTTAGGCCAGCACATCATAGTTTATACAGCTCACCTAAAGAGAAAGGTGACAAAAATCATTAATCCTGGGATTAAATGCATGGATTGTTTGATTCAATACATGTAGCTATTGCTACAGCTGCGATGGAGATGCTTGGAGGAAAAGAAGCTCTGGCTTCCAGCCGTACAGATCAAATCATGGCTGATGCTGCGTATGTTGTAATGACACGGGACAGTCGGGCCAGGACAGGGGAATTTCTTATTGATGAGGATGTCCTCAAGGAAGTAGGAGTGACTGACTTTGAGCAGTATTCTTGTGTCCCAGGTATGCTTGACTCAGCGATGGGGTCTGAGCTGGGCAGAAATGAGCTGGGCAGAAATGAAGGGAGGTGGAGTGGTGTAAGAGGATAGTCATAATGGGTAACTGATCTGGACGTCCCAAGCCTTTTTACATCTTTTTTTTGAAGGGGGGGGGGGGGGGGGGGGGGGGGTGCTAATTCGAGGATTTACAGTACACTATCTTTTGAAAACCCTGTTCTGACAAAACTCAGCATTGTACAAAATAATAAGTTCTAAAGTAACATGCAATGATACTTCATGCAGCTTATAACTGCCAATAAAATTTTTATTTGCTGTCACCTCTGCAAGTTCTGTGCTGTTTTCATCTGTCAAACTTGTCACAATACAGCGTACAGTATCCTCACGTGTTCTAACAAACATAAAATGATCAAAATAGTGGTTACATGAAGATAGAAATGTCTTCCTTTCACTTGTAACAACTACTGTGTAATAAAATTAACTTTACAAATTAACCTGCACACTGCACCATTAACAAAGT